ACAGATGACATAAGGTATGTAAAAATGCCTGAAAACTGTGGAGCCACTCTTTTCAGTTGTGTTGAATATGACTGTCTTTTTGCTCTGCGGAGTGTTAGGTAGTATGAGGAGGCAAAGAACACAAGGTTTACTTCTGGCTATTACCGAAAAGCAAATCCTATTATTTGGTATTTAAAAGGGCCACATGGATTTTCCAACTCCAAGGAGAGTGAAAAAGAAATTTAATACTATAAATTTATGATAGGAACAGTAGAAATATAAATAATGAACAGTACAAAGGAAGGGAGATTCACAGGAAAGCAAATAAACTAGGCACACTGCAGTTTGATTCTGACATGGGGATTTCCCGTAACCTGTAACTGCTTAATGAAATGACGTCTGAACTTTATTGGCTTCTCTGAGATCACCTTAAAAGGTAGCAGGTATCTGATAAGATGAGCTGAAAAGCAAATTTATATAATATCCTTGTTAAAACTTCAAGGCAGGGATTATAACCACCCCCTAAACTGCAAAGAACCAAAAGAAGTTGGATCACATCCAAGAAGCAATGTGCCCCAGGTGGTAAATGCAGAGCCAGTCCACAGTCCAATGAGGAAAGTGAGAACAATGGAGGAGCTTTCCAGGAAGCTATGTTTATTCAGTTGAGCCAACTATCTCATTCTCAAATGAGGTCTTCCATTGTCTTGGCTCATTATAGGTTCTTAATGATAGGAAATAGCCTTGTTTTTTTAAACTGACAAATGAAAAGTTAACAATGATATTACTCCTTATTCAAACTTGATCAGGCAGCTTTGAGTTTGAATTCTCATCCACTTAAGGCAAGTGGCTTGAGGCAAATTTCTAATCCACTCAGGCTTTGATTTCTCTATGTGTAACGATGTGTAACGATACAAAGATTGGCAATATTTGTAAAGAGCCTAGATCAAATTGTAGTATTGGTGGTGGTTATATGAAAAAGAAAGACAATATTTGTGTTGTTATTTAGATACATAAATTAAGCAGAGTGTCTTCTTTTTAAAATTTTTTTATTGTTTTAAGAGATGGGGTCTGTGGCACTCAGGCTGGAGTGCAGTGGAAGGATCATAGCTCATTGCAACCTTAAACTCCTGGGCTCAAGTGATCCTCCTGCCCCAGCCTCCTGAGTAGCTAGGAGTATAGGCATATGCCACCATGCCCGGCTAATTTTAAAAATTTATTTGAGACAGGGTCTTGCTATGTTGTCCAGGCTGGTCTTGAATTCCTGGACTCAAGCAATCCTCCCACCTCAGCCTCCCAAAGTCTTAGGAATACACAGTGTGAGCCACTGTGCCTGACCATGGTAGTGTGTCTTGATGGTATAAAATTATTGTTCATTACTGTGTTAGATGTTTTTTCATTTTCCCATGGTGGCCTCCTTTGGGACTGTCCACGCTTTTGCTCCAAGAGTAAATCTCGAAGGAGCAAGCATGAGTGGGAATTTTCCTTGCATGCTCACAGCCAACCAAACAGCCCTATGTCTGTGATGAGATGCATTCCAGAACCAGTTGTAGGATGGGGTTGGGTTGTACCTACTGGCTGAAGTTTTTGTTAGATCTAGAATTTAAACTCACACTTGGTTCTGGGACTAGTATTTAAAAACTTCCTATTATATCATGTATGTCTTTATATTCCTAGTGCTTAATAAATTATAGTTCCTCAACTTTTGTTGATGATTTGAATAAGTAAATATACAAATAAATATCAGGGAGTACAACAGCTCCATTAAATCATGTGGGTTTTTCCAATTATTTGCTGCTCTTTGTTTCTGGAACTGATCTGAGATAGATAGCATTTTGATGGGTGAACTTTAACTTACCAAGGCAGACAGAAAACAGGAAAACGGTGGGAGTCCCTATGACTAAAACGTATTAAGTCCATGATGGATATTCCAGGTGTTCTGGCAGGCATCTTCCTGGCCAAAACTTAAGCTGAATTTGAGCTCAACGTCTAATAACAGCTGGACTTGTTTTCCAGGGACCTCAAAGGTCAAACGTATTTTCTTAGATAGGTCACGTTCTGGGGCTTTTGACTCTAATGCAATGTGGGCAATGCAATGACCACGTTATTTCAGAGACATTGACCGGTCACTCAGGGAGTATGAAGGAGGCAAACACTTTGGTTCTCTTATACCTGTCACTCACGGGAAGCTGGTGGCTTAAAGTTTTTAAGACATTCACTTTGGTTGAGTTCTCCACCAGAAGTTGAGCAAGGCAGAATTGCAAGGGCAGGTCCACGTTTTGTGAGGTCTGAAGCTTTAGACAATATAAGATGTCCTATTTAAGAAAAATAATATAAAATCACAAATAAAACACTAGATATGAAAATGAGAATTTAACTTGAAGCCCCAGCCAGGCACAGTCTCTCACACCTGTAATCCTTGCACTTTAGGAGGCTGAGGTGGGAGACTCGCTTGAGGCCAGGAATTTGAGACTAGCCTGGGCAATATGGCGAGACCACCCCTCTTTACAAAAAAAAAAAAAAAATTAAAAAATTAGCCAGGCATGGTTGCGCACCTGTTGTCAGTCTCAGTGACTCAGGAGGCTGAGGCAGGAGGATTGCTTGAACTTAGGAATCTGAGGCTGCAGTGAGCTATGATCATGCCACTGCACTCCAGCCTGGGTGACAGAATGAGACCCTTTAAAATAAAAATAATAATAAATAGTTAGGAACCCCCCCCTTGCAAGTGGGGGATCCCAAAGCTCCAGCTTAATTAGCTTCTTATAAATGCACCTATGTAATAATGGAAGCAACATTTTAAGACAAAGGTATTTGTGCTATAATGTTGATGAGTGGGACATTTCTAAACATTTACTAGTAAGAGAAACACGTACATGCTAAATGTAACTCCAGACATAGACATTAAATACCAAGTTTTCAGGCTGGAGGGAAGTGAGGCTGGGGGAAGACAAGGGAGAAGGGAACTGGTGACTATTAGGTACCCAGGGAGCCTTCAATTAGTTGGAATGTTTAGAGAACTCGGAATCCTTGAATTTACCTTCCAAATTAATCAAAACCCAAAAGAGGTAACTTATTGGTCATCAAAAATCCTTCTAAATACTGTTTTTTTCAAGGTTCCTGTAGGTTTAACAATTTTTTAAAAACTAGTGGAATTTACTGTGACATTGAGATTAGAAAAAAAGAAAGCAAATGAATTACTTAAGGGGGCAAGAACTATTTTAATGTGTCTTCTCCACTAGTATGCAAGCCCTCTGTGGCTTGGGTGACTAAAATTGCCCCCAAGCCTGTTTGGAATGGGTGCTGGCCTCCTTAACTGCCACTCAGAGATCGCTTGACCACTACAGTCATGGTGGGGATACCAGTTATTAATAGGTCATTTATGGTGAAGCTGGTAAACAGTAAGGGCTCAATAAAAACTTACTAAATGGATGAATCAAATAAATACTTCCACTTTGAACAAATGAGGCCAGACTTAAAGCGGTTTTTATTCCTAAAGATTCTGTAACTGAATTTTGTCAAGACTTCTTTGACTGTGTTTGAGAATTCCGTCATGAATACGGCCGAGGTTTGATGGCAAAATGATTAAGAAATGAAATGGAATTAATTTTCATTGAGTGCCTAACATGTGCCAGGTATCTTGCTTGAGTTTTGCATATTTACTTATTTATTTTAAAATTTATTTATTTATTTTTCAATAAACCACCTACAAAGCTTCTGGATGTGTATTATTTAAGCTTTGTAACCATTTTGCAATCAAGGAAGCTAGAACTCAGACTTAAATAACTTGTCTATGGCCTCACAGGGAGCAAGTGGCAGAGCCAGAATCCAAACGCAGGTTTGTGGGTGCAAGGCTTTTGCTGTGACGCTGTAACCTCTCATTTGGCCTTTTCTTTCCAGCCAATGCGAAAGACACATGAAACAGTGACAGAGAGAGGCAGGAAGGACTATGAAGATGGGACAGTACAGTGAGAAGTCACATTGCCCATCATCAGTACATCATTTAGGGCCTTAAATTGCCCATCTGTGAGCCCAGATGGTTGGACTGGATGACCTCTGAGTGGGGTGACCACATGGCCCAATTTTCCAAGGCAACCCAGACTTATACCTGTTTTGCCACTGCAACTATTAGCACCGCTTCCACTCTCAAACATGTTCCATTGTGGATCATAAATTCTAAGGTCGCCCTATCTGTGAGGTTCTTTCTGGCCCTTACTTTCTGTTATATCATACTGAACCCAATAATATTTCTTTGATGACTGAAGCACGATAAAATTTCATTTTCCAGGCCTGGAGGTACAGGGAGGACAGTAGGTGAGGTGGCCCTTACTTATGTAGAGGTTGCTTTGCATTTCTGATATGGATATTTTTTCAATCTAGGAGCTAGTGCTCCTTTCCTTTCAAAGTACACTAGTACATCCCCTTCTAGTGGATTTGGCTTCAGTTAATTTGGGATCATTATATAAATATTTGTTTCCGACTTCACACTAATAGTGGCTGCTCCTTATTGAGTGCTTACACTAAGGCTAAATGCTGAGTGCATTATCTCATTTAATGCATATATTAATGCTATAAGATAGTTCCTCACCTTATAGATAAGGAAACAGGTTTAGTGAAGTGACTTGCAAGTAACAGCCAGGTCTTAAGCTCTTAGCCATTCTTCTATATTGAGATCTGTATATACACATACAGCAGATAATTAAGAAAGTTATCAGGCTCCTAAATTCCCATTGGCCTTCCCTGTATTTATCAGTATCCATGCCAGTCTTTGTCATTTCATCATCCATTGCTTCAGCCATCCATCTTTACCTCCTCGTAGAAACATCTGCCTCAAGTAAACAGATTTTGACTAAGATGCAGATTCTCAGAAAAAACGAAGATTGGATTAGCAAGTAGGTGCAATGAATACTTACTTATACAAACCTTTGTCTTTCTTTTCCACAGTTGAAAACAGAAAACAGACCCTTGTTTTTTGTTTATATTTACATAAACAATACTTAAAAGAAAAACCACCAGTTGACACCATATCATTCTGCTTTTCTTTATTGTCTGGCTAACTTACAAAGATGCAGATGTCTGGGGGAGTCTCTACCCTACCATTTACACTATCCTGATGACACAGATACCAAAATGTGTCTGTTTACATAGTGCATGGCATGAAAAAAATGTTTTTCTTCCTCTACGGTCCTTGACTATAAGGAGGAAAAAATTAATTTCACGCCAACATTTTTTGGGAACTTTAACAATCATCCCATTTCTGCTACTAAAATAACAAAACTGGTATTACAATTTAAAATATAAAGACCTAACAGTTTTTACAAATATGCAAATAATCTGCTACTTAGACATAAAAAAAGTTGACTTCTTTTAAATCACAAAGTAAGGCACCATTGGATTAAACATTTCTCCTGGCTTTTACTAAATAATATGCATAGTGAAATAAATACTGAACACTGAGTTTTAATACTGTAATACATTTCAATATAAAATAAGAGGTGAATGTTAAAATACTGTATTACATGTTGAATACATTTATCTGAAAATTTTATGAAAAAAACACACATGTAAGCTCTGATTTCAGGGAAGAAAATATTCATTTTTGTAATTTTCCATAGTTTAAGATTTTACCACAGAACTTACTCAAAGTTTTAGATGCAATTAGGTTGCAAACTTTCAAAGAAAGGGTGTAGGTGTATTAATGAAACACTCACTTAAAACACTACATTCTAAAAGATCTCTATTCTGGATGAATGGCAACTTTGAGCTATGACCCTGTTTCAAATTTAGAATGGTACCTGCCAAGTTCAGATACGCAAAGGAATTGTCCAATTGTTACTACCCCTTATAAAATTCAGACCCACTTTCTTTGAGTCAGACTTTTCTCTGTCATATTTTCTAGGAAGGGGAAACTCCATCTTTTGTGAAATGGGTCATTAGGCTTTATCACAGGGATGCTTTTCACTGTTGAAATCAGATAAAAGAATCCCAAATAAATGATGCTGCTAAATTACCAAACTGCTAGAGATTAACAAATTTTTTTAAAAAACCAACACTTTGCCAGGCTTGTTATACCTTATTATTTCTTGATTCTCTTTGAGTAAAAAGCCCAAATGACTGTATGGAAGACAGATGAATGGTCGATGAGAGAGGAAACACAGGTTCTCTAATGTACTACATCAGGACTTTGGCAAGGAAGTTATAAAAATATAATATATTCAAATCAGTAACTTCATAATTTATTAGACATCCCATTTATTAGAACTCTAAGTTCTTTTGCTTTTATATAAATGAAACATTTATTCTATAAATAGAAATGTATTTTTCAGAATTTTCTTTGGGTTGGGTTCTTGTTAGCATCTCCCAGTAATACATGAATAACATACTGAAACCATGATACAATGTTTAGGTAGATACACATATACATATGTGGTCATGTGTTTTTAAAAAACAAGTAATGGTCATTTTAAACAAAACCATATAAAATATCTAAGTGGAAATATTTTTTCCCAACTCTATAGCTAGATTTAAAAGTCCCAGTAAAATTTTGTAAACAAAATCATGTAAGAAAAGGCAAGGCTGGCTCTTCCCTATGGTCCTTTAGTGGAGCTGTATTTGCATAGATCCTAGACAAATGATGCAAAACAAATTCCCTCCAATTTCCACTAGCAATCTCCCTAATTCGCTCAACCCTTACATAAGAATCAGATTTAGATTTTTAGAGTTTTACCCACCAACTCAAATCTGTTCCCTTCTTCTTCCATGTTTCTGATTTGACACCTTTCCCTGACTTTCTTCCCCTCCTACCAAGCCTTCCTAGTGTCTCCCAGCCTCAGGAACTTGCTCAGCCAGAGAGGAACAAAGGCTGCTTCCATTTCACAAGGCAGAAGTCCAACTGACAAGTGAGGGCGTGCGCCAGCTGGTTCTGAGCCCGGAAGTCCCGACAGGCTCTCCGTTTCTTTTCAGTGGCTTTATTCCACATGACTTTAGTAAATCGTACTCAATTAATTTCTGACCTTGGTACTTTGAAGCAACACTTGTATACAGATATTAAGGGAAGAGGGAAGATAAGAGAGCAAAATTGAAGGTCAAACTGTGTGTCAAACGAGGTACTGAGTCCTAATTTTATTTTTAGTTGCCTCTTGAATCGCTCAAGCCCATCTTGCCTTTTTTGTTTTTTAAACGAGGTTTCTGCACTAGCTTCCATCTTCCAGACTTATGCTGTCTAATCCAGTAGCCACCACCCACATGTGGCCACTGAGCACTTAAAAATGTGACTAGTCCAAATGGAGATGTGCTACCAGTAAATGTAAAATACACTCTGGATTCTGAAGACTCGGTACCAAAAGATAATATAAAATATCTCATTAAAAGTTTATGTTGATTACAGGTTGAAATACTTTGGATGCATATTAACTTCACTTGTTGAAAATATACTAGAAATGTTGAAGTTGTATATGGGGCTCACATTATATTTCTATTGGACAGCTCTGTCCTGGAGCTGAGCTCGGACTGCCAAAGATTGGACATCCTGTGACTGCAAAAGTTTCCTGTGAGCCCTTACTCAGCAGCTTGCTTAGGTGGTCTGTGGTTCATGGAAACAGACAGGAGGCCAAGCATGCGAAAAAGGAATGGGAGAAAACAGCTCTCAGGGACTTTAATAATTACAGTCTGTGGCAAATAAGCAGTGAATGTTTGGATTTGGTTGGTGGAAAGCTGGGATGCAATTCATCTCTGCCTATTACCACAAAAGCCTATCGACCCCGGTTGCAGCTGAAGCAAGCAATAGCCTGGAGAATAAACAATATGAAAAGCTAGGTGCATTTCTTACCGATTCCCATGCACACACGCATATTCCCACTCACCCTCCCATCTTTCCTCCTGCCCATACATGGGGCACAAGGGAAGAAGCGGGGAGGAGGGTGTGCAGTTCTTAGCAACAGAAGCAGCTCTTGAGCTTGGGTAGAGAAGAGCAGGCAAAGATCACCTCGGGATGGGAGGGAGTGGTGGGGCACCCCTTTCTCTTCGGTTGGATCCACCTTGGTGAAAAAACAGACAAAATATAATTTTGGTTAGAAAGCTGATGTTCTCATTGTGGAAACTCGGGGATGGTTGCACGGGTACCAACTACCTCATCCCTATGACCAGGGCTGTCAGCTAACTGGCATATGTTGTGGATGAGAAGTGAGAGGTGAAAAGAAGCAAGTAATGTTCTGAATAAACATCATGGTGGATGATCCACCACTGGCTCCCAAGTACTTGTACAAAGTTAAAAAAATCATTTTCTTCTTATCACAGTGTGTGTTTATTATAGATTTAGAAAATACGGATGAGTAAAAACAAAGAACTCACCCATTCCTCCAGCACCCAGAGATAACCAATTACGTGTATATTTTTTATTTAGGAACAGTTCCCCGTTTTCTTCCAGAAATAAGATCATGTAATCAGTTTGAACATCTTTCAAAGGCATTACTCTTTGCAAAGATTATTAATGACAGACTGTATTCCAAAATATGAGTACACTACAGTCTACCTAGTCAATTCCCTTTTGTTGGGCATTTAGGTATCTTCTAATTAAAAATGAGAAAGCTTTTCTGACAGTAGCCATCCTAATGGGTGTAAAGTTGTATCTCACTATAGTTTTATTTGCAGTTCCCTAAAAATCAGTGATGTTGAGCATCTTTTCAAGTGCTCTATCAATGTGTTCTTTTAAAAGTTATTTATGGCCCTGCTGCGGTGGCTCACACCTGTATCCCCAGCACTTTGGGAGGCTGAGGAGGGAGGATGGTTTGAGCTCAGGAGTTCGAGACCAGCCTGGGCAACATAGCAAAACCCCGTCTCCAAAAAATTAGCCAGGCAGGTTGGTGCGTGCCTCTCCCATAGTCCCAGCTACCCAGGAGGCTGTGGTGGGAGGATCACTTGAACCTGGGAGGTCAAGGCTGCAATGAGCCAAGATTGTGCCGCTGCACTCCAGCCTGGGTGACAGAGTGAGACCCTGTCTCAAAAACAAAATGAAGCCAAAAACCAAGCTATTCATGGGCTATCAGTCCACTGTAACTAGGCTTAAAACCCATTCACATAAAAAAAATTCATTTACTACACAAACATTTGTTGAGAAATTTTTTTTTTTTTTTTGAGATGGAGTCTTGCTGTGTCACCCAGGCTGGAGTGCAGTGGCCGGATCTCAGCTCACTGCAAGCTTCGCCTCCCGGATTCACGCCATTCTCCTGCCTCAGCCTCCCAAGTAGCTGGGACTACAGGCGCCCGCCACCTCGCCAGGATAGTTTTTTTTTTGTATTTTTTAGTAGAGTCAGGGTTTCATTGTGTTAGCCAGGATGGTCTCGATCTCCTGACCTCGTGATCCACCTGTCTCGGCCTCCCAAAGTGCTAGGATTACAGGCTTGAGCCACCGCACCCAGCCTTGTTGAGAATTTAACAGGTGTTCGGCATGAGGTCAGGTGCTCAGATGCTGTGAACAGGTCTACCTGGTGCACATGTCAAGCAGGTAGGTCTGTTCTAACCACTACTCTTGAGACTCAGTGGGCTGGAACTGGCAGATTCCTCAGTAGGGATCTTGATAGGGACCCTACTAGTCCACTTAGGGATTTCTGAAAAAGAACCAAATTTCTGAGCAAGGAAAGGAGTTAGGAGAAAACACTGAAAGAGGCGCCTCTTCCTCTCACCATGCCAACCAAATATTTTCTTGGGCAGGCATCTGAGAAAAGACTCATCTGGATGTAAACCAGACACCTATCATGGAGCCCTGACCATCAACTGACCCGCCACAAGTGGTTAGTAAAATGAGGGCTGGCCTAGTCCAAAACTGTAATTAGAGTACACTCCAAGTGCATTCAGTACTTGCTCAGGGCTGTCTGGGTGTGCTCTCAGGCTGTGGGCTGGGAGGCTGAGGTCGCTGCAGAGCAGAGGAAAACTTGGTACTCGACAGTGCCTTATTTATTTTTGTTAGATGATACATTATCATTATAAAATATTAAACATGCCTAATGCTGGAAATATTTAAGGCAAATGTACAAAAAAATTTTGGTAGACAGCGGAAATTAATTCACCAATTTAAAAACTACTTTTAGGCTAGGTGTGGTAGCTCATGCCTATAATCCAGTGCTTTGGGAGGTTAAGGCAGGGGACTACTTGAGGCCAGAAGCTCAAGACCAGCCTGGGCGACACCGAGATATCCTGTCTCTATAAGAACATTTTTAAAAAGAAATACTTGAAAATGCCCTTTATGTTTCAGGCTCTGTGCCCCTCAAGGAAGATGCAACAGTGAGCAGGACACAGTTCTAGTCCTTACATTGCCTACTTGAGTCTTAAAGGAGGATGGGAGAAGAAATATGCTTAGCTATTACATTAAAAATCTAGAGGGTACAGGGAAGATGGTCTGTTACCAATTTAAAAACACAAATAATATTTAGAGTAAGAGGAAAATAGTAAGTCAGAAAAAATATTTAGAGTCTATATGAACAACTCCTTAAAGTCAATTCGTTTATTGGTGCCCAAGAAGGAAGAAGGGTTGTACTCTTATCAAACAGAAGCCCTTCTTCTGGTGAACACGTACACACACACACACACACACAGAGCATTCAAAGATACCTGTCCCATGTGAAAACTTACTTTCCACTAAAAATTTTTCTTTTCTTTTTTTTTTTTTTTTGAGATGGAGTTTTGCTCTTCTTGCCCAGGCTGGAGTGCAATGGTGTGAATTCTGGTCACTGCAACCTCCGCCTCCTGGGTTCAAGGAATTCTCCTGCCTCAGCCTCCTGAGTAGCTAGGATTACAGGCATGTGCCGCTATGCCCAGGTAATTTTGTATTTTTAGTAGATACAGGTTTTCTCCATGTTGGTCAGGCTGGTCTCGAACTCCGGACCTCAAGTGATCCACCCACCTTGGCCTCCCAAAGTGCTGGGATTATAGGCGTGAGCCACTGTGCCTGGTCTTCACTAAAAATTTCAATCATCAACTCTTGTATAATGATTTTATTACAGCTATACCTCTTCATTAGGTATTGTCTATGAATGCAGTCTTCCACATAAACAAATTTTTCCAGGAATTAAAGTTTTCCTTTTAAGCAGTAGTATTCTGTTTTCTTCTAGCATTTGTCCATGGAAAATTTCCTATATTTTCTAACTCTTTACATTTTTCTACAGAGGCACAAAGCACAGGTTAACTCAATTAATTTAATCCCATTTAACCCAATAGAAATTTAACCCAACAGAAACATCTGGTGTTGTCCTGCGCTGTAACACACAGCACAGCCATGTTCCTGTCTCCTCCTCTGACCTGGGACTGCCATCTGTCACTTCTCTCGCATGTCAGTGATTTTGCCTCTCACTAGTCTTAACTTTAGCTGTTACTAATCTCCTATAAGGTTTGGAACCAACCAACCAAAAATTACTTTAAACTGTGTTAGAAAACAATCAGTAGACTCTGAGTAGGTATAAGAAGCTCTGCTAGGGAGTGAGGCCATGGCTAGGGGTGTTGTGACGTATTTGACTTATTAGGTTATATTTTCTCTATTTCTGGTTTGAGAATTTGGCTCTGAGGCTAAGGCTGCCACGAACCTCAGCCTCATGGGTGACATATGCATATTTCATGCTAATTCTTTCTTCATTGTATATATTTATTGTTGCTGCTGTTGTTTTTTTTTGAGACGAAGTCTTGCTCTGTTTCCCAGGCTGGAGTGCAATGGTGCGATCTCGGCTCACTGCAACCTCTACCTCCCGGGTTCAAGCGATTCTCCTGCCTCAGCAACTGAGTAGCTGGGATTACAGGCGCGTGCCACCATGCCCGGCTAATTTTTGTATTTTTAGTAGAGATGGGGTTTCGCCATGTTGGTCAGGCTGGTCTCGAACTCCTGACCTCGTGATCTGCCTGCCTCAGCCTCCCAAAGTGCTGGTATTACAAGCGTGAGCCACCGTGCCTGGCTATTGTGTTTTTTTAAAAGTAAATTTAAGAGGCTTTCCAGCAAAACCCTGGAAAGCCTGCTAGACAAATTCTGAAAGAGCTGTAATACTTCCTATACATTTAATGTTATAAAATTCCAGTTTGTCTATTTTCCCTTCTTGTTGACACCCTTTTTCAATGGAGGAAAAGCAATTTACTTCCTTATGGTAGCATGACCTACATTACCAGAACAACAGAAATAATTTAAATGTCCATGGTAATGGTAAATTACTATATGCTGAAATAAAAACCATGTGATAACATGGGCACTATTTACTAAGCAATGTTATGTAAACCCCGCCACAAAACTATACACTGTCATTATAACTACATAAAAAATCAGAATTATATGGATAAAAAAATTGGATGAGAATCTGGTAAAATGAAAATATCTATTATGTAGAGAGATTTTGGATATATTTACATTTTCATGTAATGCTCTGTAAAGCTATGATTATCATATGTTTGAAAGATCAAGGCAGTTACAGGGAGTTTTTGTTATAATTAATCAGACATTATGCCAATTTCAAACTAGAAGGAATAGAAGATGGCTCTACTTGTACTGTCTCAGGAAGATGAAAACGGAGGACGATCGTCCAAAGAAGCAAAATAATAAAATTTAATACTAGCAAACCACGGTATTTTGAGTTTGTAATGACACATTAAAATAACTGTTTCTCATATGCATTCTGGGCATCTGCAATTTCCTCACTGCCTGTGGAAGGGGAATTTACTAGAATGTAGATGGCTCCAAAAGGTTCTCTACCCCACTCCAGGCAAGAGGCCTGGACTTTCTATACAGCCCGAGTGTCACTCAGGCTATTCAAGCATGAATCTTCAAAAACCTTGGCAGAAATACTCACTCCGGCTTTCGTTTCTTGCCAATTTGCTGGGATAACTTTTGGTCGTTTGTACATATGGCTCTGGAGGTGGCAAATCGGAAATTGGATGGAAGTAGAATCTGCTTTCCCACTCATCTGGGAAGAGAAACAAGCAGTATCTTCAGTGACAGACAATCTGCTATGAAGACTTACGTAACGAAAGGCACAGAATGAAACAGAGAGAGAACCACAGACATCAGTGCTAGTTTTTATGCCTAGAAGTTTACAGAAAAGCTGGAAGTGCTGCAAAGGTCACGAATTAGTACACTGACATATATACAGACCTGCAAATCAAAGCAAAGTGGTTTTAATGAGAGTGATTAGGATCCAGCCAGTCCCTCTTAGGAGCTGGGGGCTAAGGTATAGGACACCTTTTTCCCCATTGATAACAATGGCAGAGATAGGCAGTTCAACATGTGCAGGCCATCGGGCCTCTTACCTACAGTGAACTGTTTAGAAATGTACATAAGAAGAAGCTATTAAAAGATTCTTTTCAGAATCCTGGAATCTCTGGAAAGTTAACTAAAATGAGACCCAAACAAAGAACAGATCAGGGAAAAATGATCTGCCTTTTTGGGAAGTGGGGAAGGGGGATTACTAATTTTAATTTGAAATCACTGTGGGCCTTAGAATGGTTAGTTAGATCAGTGCAATGGAGTGTGATAATGATGGAACAAGAAATTAAACGCAAACAAACAAACCACATATACAAACAGATTTACCATTTAGTTGCTGCCCTATAGCCCAGGGAGTCGGACCATACCTCACCTTCACATGGAGAGTCTTGGAAGCCATTTCTAATAGATGTTGATGGTGGAGGTGGGGGAGGTGCCCCAGCACTGGGCCTGTCAGGAGGAAGGGGAGGCCTGGGTCCACTCCTTGGACTGTCTACTCCACTCCTGGACGGCAACTGAGGGGTGGCAGGCAGGGCCCGAGACGTGCTGCCGTTTCTGCTTATTGGAGGAGGTGGTGGGAGGGGGCCTGGAGCAAAAAAAGACACGTAGTGCAGAACCTTATATCCATATTCCATCACCGTAGTCACCATTAGTGTACAGCTGATGGGGACCTGCTGGACACATGCCCTTTAATTAGGGTGGAGATTTTCTAGGGTATTTGGCTGAGAAATGAGTAAACACACAGAAACACAAAAAATGCATGTGTACACATGTATATGCAAAACAAGTGCATACTGATAGCTAAATGGGTGTTTTGGCTTTGAATTAGCACTGAGATTGGAGATGGCACAGTGAAACTGAAAACAGGTGAAAATCTGTTTATACTGACAACCATATAATTAAAAAAAATTTTACAATCCTTTAAAGAGCTATTGAACTAATTACTGTGACATGATGAAATAATTTTTTAAAAAAGAATAAGATAGTTATGAAATTATTTTAGGTCTTGAGAAGAATGAGGTTCTTTAAATGCAGTTTTGTTGTTAATTACAGAAGCACGTTTCTGTGATGCATATGATCTGTTTCCAGGCAGAAGTGGCATCAGGAAACCAAATACCAGTCATCTTGAGAGCAGTAGGAGTTTCTTCTTGGTTCTTCCTCTTTGGGGAGGCAGATGAACACAGGGAGTGACAAACAGCTAATCAACATCCATGGCTATAAATGCTAATGTGAATCTTGACCTTGAGCAAGCTGGTACCCTACGGAACTTGGTTTCCTAGTTGTAAAAGAGTGCCACATGGTCACCTGTCTCACAGCACTGCTGCCAGGAAAAACTAGTGAAAATGCAAATAAAAAATACTATGTAAGTACTTGAAACCATTTTTTAAAAATGTAGCAGTATGGTATAACCATAAGTTTTTAAGTTTCTAAAGAAAAATTCAAAGTAAATTATTTTTGATAATACAAAAGAAAACCTTGCTTTTCCTATCCTCCAAATGCAGGGGCTATTTGAGTAGTAAGTAAACTAAAAAAACAAAACTAAAAACTTGAGCATTTTCCAATGTAAATCAAAACGGCCTTAGTAATTATTCCTGATCTTCAGCAGTGGGTTCCACTTGTAAGATGCTGACATTTTATGTGAATACAGTATCTGACGGTGCTATAAATAAATATCTTATTAGCTATAGATTCAGAATCCAATTAGGAACCGTAACCTGAACAACCTGCAGATATCCCTGACAGAAAGTCTTGGCTCCAACATTTTATGGCAGTGGGAGGCACTGTCCAGCCCTGATTGGTCTCTCAAGGAGTCTTCAGTGCCTCACCTAGGAGTGGTTATTTATTACCCTATCTGCTTGTCATTGCTGGAGTCCCAGGCAGCAAGAGTTGATTTATTGAGGAAAAGTGTCTCATTTGCTGTGGGTTTGACTTCATTGGTGATACCACCACACAACTGTCACTACATGCAAACTCGACTTTCAATATTATGGGGCCCTGTACTATATAACTTCATCTCTTTTTCTTTTTAAAGTAAATGGTCCTGTTCATGTTCCTAACTCTCCAACCTCATGGCTCCCTGCTCCAAATCCTGACAGGCACAATAGAAAAGAAAACAGATTTCTATTTCCCACTGGCGGAATAACAGAAATGATCATTTATTGAATATAACTACATGCCAGGAAATAAGATAACCACTATCCATGCTTGTCTCGTTTAATTCTTACAACTCTGAGAGGTACAGGGACAGGAGACAAGGCCTCAGAGGTTTTGGAAGCTTAAAAAGCTCATCAGAAGACTGAGTGGAGGAGCCAGGATCTGACTCCAAATCTGTCAGATTCCAAGGCCCACTCCCGTAACACTGAAGCCAAATGACTCAGAATACACAGGGCCTTTGATGAACTCTCATATGCTCCTTGTGGGAATGTAAATTGGTAGGAAATTTCTGGAAGGCAATTTGCCAGTACCGATGAAATCCGTAGTTTACTATGCACACTCACTACCTAGATATTCCGCTTACAGGAATTCATCCAAAGGAAATACAGAGATGTGTACACATATTTTGCTACAAAAATGTATCACTGCATTATCTGCACCAGGAAAAATCTAGAGATGGCCCATATGACCAGGGGAGGGGATTGGTTAAATAAATCAAGGTACATCTGTAGGATTTAATATTAGGTAGCTGTTAAAAGTCAGGCTGTAGAAGAATAATTGTATCACTAAACATTAATGAAATACTAGTAAATAAAAAGCAAATTAGCAAACAATATATGTAGTGTGATACCAAGTTTGTAAAAACATATATGCATTTTAAACAGACTGAAAGGACACAATAAAGAAATGTTATCAATGATTATTTCTGGATGGTGGTGGTAGAAGGATTACAGATAATTTTAATTTTCTTTATATTTTTCAGTATTTCGATAATAAACAAGTATGACTTACGTAATCAAAAGAAACAATAAATGTTGTATGTCAATGCTTGTCATATTTTGGGGAAGATTTAATCTGCTGACTCATCCATTTGGTAGGGCCACGGCACAATGGTTTCAAGGTGTGGTTCTCACATTCTGCTGCACACTATAATCACCAGGGAGCTTTTAAATATCCCGATTCCCAGTCTGCACCCCAGACCAATTATACCAGAGACTCTGGGAAGGGACCCAGGCATTCGTGGTTTTTAAAGCTCCGTAGATGATTCCAGTATGTGAGCAAGTTTAAAGAATGGTGATTATGAGGTTCCTGAGGTCACAGGGTCAAAGATCTCTTATCTCTGAGTAAAGGAAAAAAATGCCCCATTTCCAGACATAAGGTCTGTATGATGAGATTAAATTTGAAAAGTGGGTGGTTCTACCGAGTTCATCCATAACCACTGTAAAACGCATCAAGTGAGTGTACTCTACTAAAAATGCCTATTATAATTCGGAGAGGGCAAACTCTAGGCAATCCTTGCGTTTTCTTTCATACTCTGAAAGTCTGTCCCTCAGATCAAGGTTTCTCAACCTTTCCAACCGCATTGGAAAGGTCTCAGATGGGCTTCAGCAGGCTCTTCAAGCCATGTGACAGCATGCAGATTTTGAGTTTATGCCTGGGTATTTTTGTAAAGATAGTCTATACCTTTATTTGATTCTCCAAGGGATTTATGTACCAGAGATGTTAACAAAGAGCAAAATGGACTTTTTAAACATTTGTCTTTAATGAATAGGGAAATGGCCTCAAAGCCTGGCTAATGAAGAGAGAAGTACAGGAGAAGTTCATTAGCTCTTGAAAATCTTCCCCTCTTGTTGGAATAATGGAGCCCTCCTGCAGGAGGTGGGGACTTATTTTCCCAAGTAAGACCACTGAAATTCTCTCTAGGGAGGCAGGGTAGTGGGCTGGCAAGTACACTTTAGAGATGGAAGACGAAAGTTCTTGCCTCTTCTTTATTAACTAGCTCGTGACCATTTAACTTTATTGGCTACTCAGTGTCCTCATCGCTAAAACACCAACAGAAATATTGGTCCCACTTTCCTCAGGGATTTACACGAGGTCACGATCACATGTGTCGCGTGCCACTTAAAAGCACAAAGCAGTCTGAGAGTTTACTTATGCCTGTTCTTGGTAAGACTATCTTGACTGACAGCATTATTGGTACATTTGGGCAGGCTGGGTTTTGGAAGCGACTCACCCCACGTCTTGTCATACCTGATCGGCCTGGCGGGTCCCTCACTGGAGGTGGGGGTCTCTCGCTGGGCGGGGGAGGAAGAGGACCTGAACGTCCTGGCGAAGGTAAGGGGGGCGTGGACGAAGTGAGGGACAGATTCCGCTGTGGGAGTCTTGGGGTTTCGTCATTGCCGCTGGAACTTGGAGGCAGGGGAGGCGGCCCGGGCCTGCTGGGAGGTGGCGGCGGAGGTGGGGCCTGTGAGGAGGAGGAAGGCCGCGGAGTGGAAGGCACTGGAGGCTTGTTGTTCTGAGGAGGAGGAGGGGGAACCGCTTCCCTGTGGATGGAGGGCCTGTTGCCTACTGGAGGAGGTGGCGGAGGGGGTTTGTCATCCAAGGCCCTGCTGGGCGTAGGCGGCAGGGGAGGCCGGTTGGAGAAGGGCGAGGAGGAGCTCAAGGGAGACTGACGTATTGAGCCTCCTCCCAAAGCAGCGCCGCGGTTTCCAGGGAAAGGGGGAGGAGTGGGCCCGGGGCCGGGCTGCCTCGGGCCTCCGGGCACTGGTGGGGACCCCCGGTTGTGCAGACTTGATTGAATGGGTCTTGGAGTACTAGGTACTGGAGGGGGGATGCTATCAGGCTTTGAGCCCAGGTCGGGCCTTGGGGGCGGCATTCGGTTCCTCTGAGGCTCTGGGGGACCACTTCTGTGGCCTGGAGAAGGCACAGGAAACCTCCCTGGGCCACTTGGGGGTGAAAAGGGTTTGGCAGATGTGGATCTTCCTCCCGGTGGCAACATGGGTGGTCGGCTTCCTCCAGAATCTGAAAAACAGGAAAACAAACATCCAGTTAGGAAATCAGGAACCCTAAAGAAATCAGAGAGCTAGAGTCTGTTCCCAGTGACTGGAAGTCCCTTCCTCAGAGGGCTATAAAATAGAGGAAACTATTATTTATATAAATTGGGTTTTGTGTGTGTGGTCCTTCCTGGGAGCAGAAAATCGACCGTAGCTCTATTTACTTGCGAGTCCCAAGTTCTACAGCCCATCAGCTTTCAAAAGGAGTCTGGAAAGATCTATGTAAAGTATTATGTATAGATAAGAGCCAGGATGAAGCGGGGGAGAGTTCTGGTGAGATGCCTATTCATTATGAGAGGACAAGTACAAGATGGCATTGGTAGAATCATGATTTTCATTTTTCCCCATCACCATCTCTGTCCCCCAGCTCTTGTACCTCTCAGTTTTGAAAATAAGTCAGCTGTTTTAGGTGAAAAAATTAATTATCCCAATGTAAATCTCCATATGTGAGGGCTTATCTAGTACCTTTGAAGAGAAATGCCCAAGAAAACGTGGAAAAATATAAGGGGAAAAATATAAGGAAAGAGTTATGACTGCAATAAGAAAAAACTAAGAAAGGAAAAAGAAACCATCATATAGAGTTTAATTGGAAGAGTTGACACCAGTGGATGGAATTCATCTACAAAGAAGCAGGCAACTACACAACTTTTTTTTTTCTTACCACGTCAACCTCTGCTTCAATATTGGCAGGACAGAACAATCCTATAACTGCTCTGGTTCAACAAGAGAGAAACTAAAGGGGAACCAAAGAGATGGAAAATTTCAAACCACCATCCCAGAATCTCTTGGAAATCAAGGTAATTCTGGGAAAAAAAAAAATCTACCTTTCAATTATGAGTTCATAAACATACCAAATAATTTTGAGCTCTTGCTATACACCTGCCATTAATCTAGAGACCAGAGACAGAGGAGTAAACAGAATAGACAAGATTCTGCATTCCTGTAGTTTACATTCTTGTGGGGGGGAGATAAACAATAAACCAGGAAATAAATACTTTCAGATAATTATATGTACTAAAAAGACACTAAAATAGGCTGATGAGATCAAGAGTGCTTGGAGAGGCCAGGGTACGTGGAGTGGCTGGAGACAGCTCTTCTGAGAATGTGACATGTGAGCTGAGGCCTGACAAGAAGGAGTTGGCCATGGAAAGATGAGGAAGACCAGCACTTCAGGCAGGGGGCCAGCAGGTGCAGAGGCCCTGAGGTGGGAAAGAGCTTTAAGTTCAAAAACGGGCCCGTGTGCCCCAGGCAGAGTGAGAATGGGAGAGATCCATGGGAAGCGGAGCCTGAATGGCCAACAGGGGTGAGTCACAAGGAGCCCTGCAGGACAGAAGGGGTTCCGATTTTGTCTAAGGCATAGGAAAAAAGCATTTGGACAGATGTATACAGTGGAGTATCATGAACTTAAGAGAGAACTTTTTCTTTCTTTTTTTTTTTTTTTTTTTTTTTTTAGACAGGGTCTCCTCTGTTGCCCAGGCTGGAGTGCAGTGGTGCGATCATGGCTCACTGCAGCTTCAACTTCCCGGGTTCAGGCAATCCTCCCACCTCAGCCTCCTGGGTAGCTGGGACTACAGGCAAGAGCCCCCATGCCCACTAATTTTTTGTGTTTTTTAGTAGAGACAGGATTTTGCCACGTTCCCCAGGCTGTTCTTGAATTTTTGGGCTTCAGCCATCTGCCCGCCTCAACCTCCCAAAGTGCTGGGATTATAGGTGCGAGCCACCATGCCTGGCCCATTTTATTATTTTATTTTTCTTAGTCTTTTGCCTTAATTTCTTCACCTGTTGTTAAAGTACTAAACGTATACATTTATCAGCTGCCTTAAACCCTTTTGGTGAGTTTTAAATAAATTTAAATTCAAATTTAAATGGTGGTCTGGCAAGATAGAACCTCTCATGTAATTGAGTTTCTCTCTAGATTTGGACCATTCAGTGATAAAATAGTAGGCTAACCCTGAGGATTCAGTGATTCCATATTCATGTAAATGTGAGAATTTCATTCCTTCCCAGACGACATCTTATAAAAGGTCTTAAAAAGAAAATTATTGTAACATGATCAACATTACAAAAGCAGTTTTATGGTAAAATTTCTTGAGTTTCTGTAGTAGTCGCGAGAGAGCCTCATGCCTCTGTGAAGTTTTTTATTTAGGCATTCATGAGCAAGTTCAGCTTTTCTCTACCATCAGGTTCATAGACAATCATGAAGGACTCATGTCCATGGCTTCCTGCAGAGACTCCTGAGAACCACTGGCACTGAAATACCAAATGTCTGTCATGCAAAACACTTTTTCAGATTTAGTGAGATTTGTAATCATATTCCACAAGACGTGCTCCATCGTGTTTGAAAAGCGGCTCACAAGTATTTACTCTACTAGACAGCTGGGCTACCTCACAAAGAAAGCTGAATCTGTCAGGTCACCAGGCAGATTTCCAGGGCCAGCAAGTTCTATTTGCTCCTCCCTTTTCTTCCCACTCCAGCTAACCCTTTAGAAAAGTAAAAAAAAAAAAGTACAGGTTACCCCCAAAGACACTGGGTGAAAATTTCATAGTTCTGTGTAGCTGTCTGATCCTGGTTAATAATAATAATAAAGCCTAAATTGAGTCTCTTATAAAACAGTGGTAATATTTCAAACAATGTACAATATTTTAGTAAGGGCAAAGAGCCTTAGGGGCTATGACCAGCCTCCAAACTGCCAAACTCTGTCTTGTCTTCAGTTACTCAGAGACAGGGAAACTCTCCTTACCATTATCCCTGTTGGCCGTGGATCTCAGCTTCGGCATTCCAGCCTGGAACAGTCCTCCCAGACCTGGAAGTCCGCCCCCTCCAAAACTTCCACCGCCTCCGCCACCACCTCCTCCGCCAAATCCGCCGCCTCCACCAAAGCCACCACCACCACTTCCAGCACCAGCTCCTTTAGGTTCTGCAGAAGAAGAAACACCCGCCAGAGTATGCCCCCTGGTCTGGCCCAGGTAAACCATAAAACAACAGTACAACAGGGAGCTGGCCGGCTCTGGGCCGCCAGTGGACAACTGGGATTTCTTCATTAAAATGCAGGATTTTAAGAGTTCCCTCAGCTCAGTCAGAACTGCCTGCTCCAGGCAGTCCCAGGCCCAGTGGTGGAAGAAACGAAAATAAAGGATGATTTGTTCCCACACTCCCCACTTGACTGGCTGCCACATGGGTCAATATCTATTTGTTCCGTATCCTAAGGTTTGGCAAATAGAAAAATCTTCAGGCTGGTTGCAGTGGCTCACACCTGTAATCTCAGCACTTTGGGAGGTTGAGGTGGGAGGATTGTTTGTGCCAGGGAGGTCAAGGCTGTAGGGAGCCAAGACTGTGCCACTGTACTCCAGCCTGGGCAACAGAGTGAGACCCTGTCTCAATAAAAAGGATCTTCAAAGAAAGAGGGTCCCAAGGGAGGAGGAGATGCCATAAAAGGTGAGAAGAAACAAAAGAGTTAAAAAGACAAGAAAATAAAATATCTCATAATTTCACAAATATACAAATATCCAGGCTGGGCACAGTGGCTCACACCTATAATACCAGCACTTTGGGAGGCTGAGACTGGAGGACAGCTTGGGCCCCAGGAGTCTGAGACCACCCTGGGCAACAAAGTGAGACCTCATCTCTATGAAAATAAACAACAACAAAAAAATGTCGCCAGGCATGGTGGTGCACACCTGTAGTCCCAGCTACTTAAGAGGCTGAGGTGTGAGGATCACTTGAACCCACCGAGGCTGCAGTGAACTATGACTGCACCACTGCACTCCAGCAAATAAACAAAGAAAAAACACTAAGCAAATATCCATTATTGAGTTATACTTTTTCCTGGCAGTATTTTTCATTTTATGTGTTTTTTCTTAAAATTAAGAACAAATTCACTATGCAGTATTAAGCCTGCTTTTTTCACTTAACACTTTGTTAGCACTTCTTGTGTCATACTCTTTGAAAACATGAGTTTAAAGGATTGTATTGTATTGCAGAACATGAATGTATTACATTAAAATTTATTTAACTACTCATTTGATGGCCTTTTAGATTGCTATTAATTTTTTAGTATCATGAAGCCCAATTGTAGGCTTTAGTAATTTAAACATTCTTTGCAATTTGAGAGGGTATAAAGATCTTGTTTTATTTTGAATTTATCTGCAAAAAATTGTGAAAGATTTTGATGGGAGGCAAATAAACAAACAGAAAGATTACTGAGTATTCCATCTAGTTTTCCGGGTTACTTCCCATTGTCTTTAAGCCACAGGATTTTATCACTCTGAAAGGTATAGAAAACTGATACTAATGCAATGGTATTTGTCCAAAGAAGTGCAAATTAGTTGTGTTTAAGCCATGCTTATACCCTCTTTAAAAAAATTATCTCTTAATTTATGTATGTATGCATGTTTGTATTTAAGAGCTTAAACATTATTTAAAGTCCTCTTCCCAAAAAACTATGTTGAGTCTTTGATAAATAGTATATGAAATCTACAAACTAATCTGGGAGAACTGATACTTTTACGATATTTAGACTTTCCATTTGGAGATGTGGTATATTTTCTCGTTTATTCATGTCTCCTGGATTTTTTGGCAAAGTTTTTTAGTTTTCATGATTTACATTACACATGCTTTTTGTTGGGGTTACTTCAAATGTATTTTTGTTTGCTGAAATTGTGAAAGGGATGTTTTTCCTGTTATATTTTGTAATTGGTTATTTTTGGCACCAGCAAATTGTATTTAATACCTAATAAGCCACTTTGCTATATTTTCTAAATTAAAATTTCCTAAAAATTTATTATCTTGCATTTTCTAGTATGCATGTGGTCTTCAAATAATAATGGTTTAAAGCCTCCTCTTCTCTAAGAATTGTATATCTTATTTCTGTTTTATATAAGTAATTACTTTGATGGGTAAATTTCCATAACAATGTAAATTATTAACGTTTCTAAAGGCAATCATGTTCTGATATTAATGAGAATCCCTCTGATGTTTCAAAGTTAATATGAATTACTGGTTTGAAATAGGTTTTGTCCCTTTCTAAATATTCAGTTGATGGATGCTTCTATTTTAGGTTTACAAGAATTTCTTATAGCATGAAATTTTATCAAATGCCTATTCAAGATCTACTGAGACTTTTTATGGTCTTTTTAGTTTGATATGATGACTTTCTAACATTAAAATGGGATAGGCCGGGTGCAATGGCTCACGCCTGTAATCCCAACACTTTGGGAGGCCAAGGTGGGTGGATTGCTTGAGCTCAAGTTCAGGACCAGCCTGAGCAATATGGTGAGATTTTCATCTCTACAAAAAATGAGCCAGATGTGGTGGTGCATGCCTGTGGTCCCAGCTAGTTAGGAGGCTGAGGTAGGAGAATCCCTTCAGCTTGGGAGGTCAAGGATGCAGTGAACTGTGTTCATACCGTTACTCCAGCCTGGGTGACAAGACAAGACCCTGTCTCCGAAAAAAAAAAAGGGGGATAAACCCTGGTGTTGGTGAATTGTTCTTGTAACATCTGATTGATTTAGATTTGTTTTTTGGTATTTTAGTGTTCTCTTATCTATGATGGTAAGTGGTCCATAATAGGGTTTCTTAATTATAAACATTTTGGGTCAGATAATTCTTTTTTGTGGGTGGCTGTCCTGTCCTGTTCTTTACAGAATGTTTACAGCATCCCTGGTGTCTACCCACTAGATGTCAGTAGCAGCCCTCCCTGACCCCCAAAGTAATGACTAAAAATGTCTTCAGACATTGCCACATATCCCCTGGAATGCAAAAATCACCCTCAGTTGAAAACCACTAATGTATAGCTCTCTTTTTTGTATGTACTGCCTTTGTCAAGTTTTGACATTAGGATCATGCCAATTTCATTATAATTATTAGATAGCTTTCCATCTCTAACATGTTGGGGAATGATTTATACAGCATTTGGATTAGCTTTTCTTAAAATCTGAAAGAATTTGCTAATAAAACAATCTGGCTCCAAAGCTTTTTGGAGACAAAGTAATTTAATAAAGTTTTTATCTTTTCCCTTGCTCACTGAGGTTTCTTGAATAAATGTATGCTTTTCTTAGAAAAGTACTTTCTTTAATATCTTAAAACATTTTAGCAGATAACTTTATTATACTACTTTAATTTTAGAAAATATGCTTTGAATCTCTTATTTTATCTGCTTTCTGAGTTCCACTTTTATTCATTTTTATTTCCTTTTTTTCTGGATTAGGTTTATCATAAATTTGTGTTAGCTCTGTATCTTTTCTAGATGCAGCGCTTTCTGGGATGCTTATGGTAGCTCTGCTATGGAAGAAATAATCTGATAATAACTGACAAGAATTACTTCACCTAACAGGATAAAACATATAAGACTAACAATTTCTAGAAGTGTATGCAAAATTGTTTCCATATAAAATTTTAAAATTTTGGTAATAATATTAACATTGCCCTTGTCATTCAAACACTATTCATTGATGAATGACACATTTTGGAATACTGCACTTCACAGGACATATTTACATGGTATTGAAACTTTAGAGGGACTCCTGCAGTATCAGACATCATCCATTAGTGTTCCTTTTTTTTTTTTTTTTTTTTTGAGATGGAGTTTCGCTCTTGTCGCCCAGGCTGGAGTACAATGGCACGATCTTGGCTCACCACAACCTCTGCCTCCTGGGTTCAAGCGATTCTCCACCTCAGCCTTCCAAATAGCTGGGATTACAGGCATGTGCCACCACGCCCGGCTAATTTTGTATTTTTAATAGAGATGGGGTTTCTCCATGTTGGTCAGGCTGGTCTTGAACTCCCAGCCTCAGGTGATTGGCTTGCCTCGGTCTACCAGAGTGCTGGAATTACAGGTGTGAGCCACTGCTCCCGGCTCATTAGTGTTCTTAACCTGCAACATCTGTCCATCTTACAGAAAGAGAAGCTAAAGCTGAGGATAGTTAACTGCTTCCAGATTATTTTTTCAGTAATTAAACTGTAGGACAGGCTGAGTTTGGGAGCTATCACACATAACCACGGTCAACATTTTGACATACAGCCCAGGGAAGTTTCACATGCAAACAGATACAAAACCATGGATAAATACTGTTGCTTGCAAAGAGCTTGTGACAGCAGTATAGGTGTCCAGTTACGTGCATGAACAAGGGCCTGCACTGGACTGTATCTTCCTTCCATCAAGGAAAGCACATTATTAAACATCATGGAAGAGAGAAGGACTAACACTATTTCCATTAAATGAGAGAAGTGAACATTGGAGAATACGATTCTTCAAGGTTTCCACTAGTGGATTCAGGAATAGGTCTAGACTGTCCAGTCTCCTTCAACAGAGCCCTAGGCTCCCTCTTGTAGTGAGGAGAACCACAGGCCTCTGTCTTAGAGGCCAGCAGCTCCTCTGGCCTCATACCAGGGACCATGATTCAGATGGCTATTGGAGGGCTGATTAGAGGGATTATATTATAACCACATTCTTTTTGTGGGCATTTTGACTTACAAGTCAGACTGTGTCAAGAGTTAAATACCTTAGATCCTTTTTTTTTTTTTTGGAGACAGTGTCTTGCTCTGTTGTCCAGGCTGGAGTGCAGTGGCACAATCTCAGCTCACTGTAACCTCCACCTCCTGGGTTCAAGTGATTTTTGTGCCTCAGCCTCCCAAGTAGCTGGGACTACAGGCATGTGCCACCAAACACGGCTAATTTTTGTATTTTTTGTAGAGACAGGTTTTTACCATGTTGTCCAGGCTGGTCTTGAACTCCTGGCCTCAAGTGATCCACCTGCCTCAGCCTCTAAAAGTGCTGGAATTACAGGTGTGAGCCACTGTGCCCGGCCATAGTTCCTTTTTGAAAGCAGTGCATTCTCACTCGCACCACTTTGCCCAGTAACAGAACAACATTCAAAGGCCTTATCTAGGTCTTTCACTTTTCCTTTTTTCTCCCAAACCAGTAGTCCACCTAACTCTGATCCTTCTTCTTCCTTCTCTACTCATTAGGCATTTCTCCCAGGAAGTTCCCTGAAGCACTTCTAATCCTCTACTTTGCAAATATTCTGCCTCATTATTCACTTGTTGACAAAGCTCCATCTGGTGATTTTGGAAGGTCAGTCTATTTCCTGTTGCGTCCAAATGGGATCTGTAGTCTAGGATGAATCTTGGGGACATCTGGCAGGCAAAGGAAGGGTCTAGAAATGTGAGGAGACAGCCTTAAGATCTACTTATTAATTGCCAGTAGAATTCTAGTCATGGATTATTTTTTGTCTTGTTGTAAATGTTAATAAGTAGCCTTGTTCCAGAAAGTACCTCAGACTTAGGTGGGTAGATAAGCGAAGTTGTGACCTCATTTCCTTTCTCTCTAAGCTCCTAATAATTGTATCTTACACTTGAATTACACTTTCCAGACAACAAAACATTTTACAGGCATTATCTCATTTGAAGCTCATGACAAACTTGTGAGGTCAGTAGAACATGTATTATAATCTCCACTTTAAAATGAAGACAACAATGCTTGGAGATGGTACAGGATGGATGTGCCAGGTCTTGAACCCACAGCTTTTGATTCCAAGGTTGGGGCTCTTTCCATATTTTATGCTGCCTCCTCATCTGTGGTGCCAGGAGCAATGGGTTAATCTCCAGAAAGTGTTGTGAATAATGCAGAGAATTGCTGCTGTGTATGTCTTGGACAAAGAATTATTATACTAGCTTCTTGCAGTATTAAAAGGGAACCCAAGCCAAAGCTGCGGCCTACAGGGAGTGATACAGTCCCTTATTTTGCTAGCTCTGCAGCTGTTGTTAACCGAAAAAAAAAAAAAAAAATTGAGGGGTGAGGGTAGGGTTGATTATTAGGCCGTAAACTGTTCCTCTTCATGGAAAATAGCTTTTTTTACTTACTGTCCAATATTGGTGCACTTCTGTCATTGGTGACTGTCTTCTTTAGTTTCTTCCCTTTGCTGATATCAGAAAGGAGAGCATTTCTCCCAGCCTGCTCTGTCTTATTCAAGGTAGGCTTCTCTGTATTGGCCTGAAAGGAAGCCATACAAACAAGTAGTCATCTCTTGGGTTAAAATCATGTACTGTAACACTTGGCTGGGAAAGGTTGGGTACGGGAAGCTTGTTATTAAGGTTCTTGGTGACAGGTTGTAAATTCTCAACAAGTTTTAGAACCCATATCATTCTTTTTAAGATCCAGACATTTGGAAGCAGATGCAGCAATAAATTATGTTCATTTTTAAGGGAGGAAGAGTCAGTCCTTGATTAAAGTCTCTGAAAATTCAGACCACAATCTGACTGAAACTAACAGGGCCAGGTTAGAGTGAGATGACTAGACACGAGAAAAGAAGTTTAAGTCTGGGAGGGTTCTGCAGGACATTACCAGGCTTCATTCACTAGAGGGTACCCTGAAGAATAACTTCCTTTTCCCATCTTTTAGAACTAACCCAGTGCAAGGGAAAAACTGTCTCTAGCAAAAAGAGTCAGCTGTATGTTTTTTAAACCCACTAAAGTTCTAGAAAATAATTCCCACTGTGTATATTGCCAAAGATGCTTTTTTTCTTTTTAAGTCAGATTTATTAAGGTGTAATTTACATATAGTGAAATTACCCCTTTTAGTTACAGTTCTGTGAGTTTTGACAAAGATATACAGTTGTGAAACCACCATCACAATCAAGATATAGAATATTTTCATTACTTCAAAAGTTCCCTCATGTCCCGTTGGCATGAGGTGTTTCTGATGTTTAATTCTGATGAAAGCTTAGCTCATGGAAATTGCAGAATGGATAAAAGTGCTACTTTAACATGTTTGATTATTTTCTTGTATTTCCAGAATTCCTATGAAAGATCCCCACCTACTATGAAATTGGGATCTTGCTCCTTCAGGGAGTATCCAGCAAAAGGACTTAGATGTAGGCACCTGCCTGTGTGCCTGTGTCTTTCACATTTGGAAACTGGCTAGGTCTTGTCTGTCCCAGGGAGAGTCTGGCTGCCCCAAACCCACAGGTCCTTTCTAGGCTGGCCCCAGCCCTTCTGATGGGGATATGATTTCAGATTTGCCAGTTAGGGCCACAGGAGGAAAAGCTGGGGAAATGTATGGCTCAATACCTTACCCAGCCTTTAAAAAACAATTTTTTTTTTTTTTAGAAACAGAATCTCATTATGTTGCCTAGGCTGGAGTGCAGTGGCTATTCACAGGTGTGATCATCATGCACTACAGCCTCAAACTCTTGGGCTCAAGTGATCCTCCTGCCTCAGCCTCCTGAGTAGTTGGGATTACAGGCACGTGCTACTGCTCCTGGTCTAACTCAGCCTTTTATTAGCAGAGTTAGAGGCAAAGGAAGAACTCAGAAAAACCCTGAAGTGGGCTAACCAGAATTACTGTGTAATTGGAATTATACTGTGTAAACAGAATTACTGTAAAATACGGTAAAGTTGGAAGCATCTTGAAATAACTAAATGATAAAGTATTACTTGCTTATGATAATAATCATTAACATATATAGCTTTTACTCTGTGCCAGGCACTGTTTTCAGCACCTTATGTGTATTACTTCATTTAGCCCTTATCAACCCTGTGAGTTACTTCAATTTTACAGACAAGGAAACTGAAGTACAGGGAGTTTAAATCATTTGCCCCGGTCACCTAGTTAGTTGAGGAGGAGCTGGGATTCAAACCCTGGCAGTCAAGAGCCTTCCCTACAAGCTGACAGAAGGGTAAATATGGGCTCCAAAATGCTCATCCCCATCAGCCCCAACATACTGCTGAAGCAAGCCTGTCAAAAGTTTCTCTGCTGTCCTTCCAGAAATGCTCTCTGCAAACACAGTTTGCTTTTGCTAATGGGATTCTCCTCTATTGTTCTGAAACTTGTTTGTTTTCAACTTAACATACTTTGGATGTCCTGGAAAGAGCTCTTAACATTACCTGCTGTCTTCATTTTAAGGATGAAAAAACTCTGAGGCCTAGAGAGGTTAAGTGATGTGTCACAGTGGATCTCTGAACAGTTCTGGGTTAGCAACCTTCAGTAGCCTCCTGTTCTGCCTTAAAATTTATTTTGACAGCTGACCTCCCTGGGTGCTAACTTCTCTCGTGTTCAGGGCCCTTAATTATGTTGTTTCACAAAGGCAGTGGTCTATGATGGCCACCAACCCACCTTTTCCCTTTCTTCATCTCTATATTCTATTTATCCACAGTCTTGCTTTGAATTAGGTAATAACAGATAGAAATGAGTTGATAAGATAAACAAGGTTTTCCAAACTTCAAGCATTCTGGTATAAGATTTATGATTTTTGTCATCTTGTCATACCACCTGTGTTATTTATTTAATATTTTTTATTAAGTCAGTTCACTATAACCCATACTTTTGGGGAAATATGGATAAATGAATCCTGCTATGTTAGCCAGATTAGAGGTTCTCAAACTTATCCATGTGAAGGACCAGCGTTTTGTTTTTGTTTTGTTTTGTTTTTGAGACACGGTCTTGCTCTATCACCCAGGCTGGAGTGCAGTAGTGCAATGACAGCTCACTGCAGTCTTGACCTCCTGGGCTCAAACAATCCTCCCATCTCTGCCTCCAGCGTAGCTGGGACTACAAGCATGCACCACCATGTCTGGCTGGCTAAAAAAATTTTTTTTGTAGATATGGGGGTCTTGCCATGTTGCCCAGGCTGGTTTCGAACTCCTGGGCTCAAGTTATCCTTCCACAGTGCACGCCTGGCCGAGGACCAGTCTTTTGAAAAATATTTTCATCAGCAACTGACACTTTTGTAAAATAACAATGAATTATTAGAAAAACGAATTAGTTTTTTAAAAAAGACACACAACATCCAATCTTAGAAACAGACAGAAAACTACTGTCAAATTGCTAGAAATGCTTCTAAATGCTTACTTTCAATTTTTGTCCTCATCACTTTGGGGACTCTTAAAAAGTAGTTGGAAGGCCACACTCTGAGTAACAATAAGCTAATTAATGGGCAGTTCTTCTCACTAGGTATCATCCTCAGATGAGTTATATAAATGCGTCTCATGGAAACCTGGGGCAAGAAACTTTCTCTCCAAGCCTCAGTTTCCCCATGTGAAAATGGTGAAAATGAAGGAACCATCAGTGTGAGGCTCCTCCTCAGTGAAGGCTTCACAAGCTGGAGAGGGCTTTGTAACAGAGTTTATCTTGGGGCCTTTCCATATGACCAAGTGGAGGGTTGCCAAATTCCTGGAAGAGGGCACACTAACTTCCCCAAAGAGGTCTATCAAAGGAGCAGGATGAGCCAGGCACAGTGGCTCACACCTGTAATCCCAGCACTTTGGGAGGCTGAGGTAGGTGGATCAACTGAGGTCAGGAGTTCAAGACAAGCCTGGCCAACATGGTGAAACCCCGTCTACACTAAAAATACAAAAATTGGCTGGGCATGGTGGTGCGTGCCTGTAGTCCCAGCTACTTGGGAAGCTGAGGCAGGAGAATCACTTGAATGGGAGGTGGAGGTTGCGGTGAGCCGAGATCATGCCACTGCACTCCAGCCTGGGCGAAAGAGCGAGACTCAAAAAAAAAAAAAAGACCAGGATTAATCCAGTGAAGAAATTCTTTCGGGAAATAAACATCTAAATGCCTAAATGCAAGTATAGATTTAAAGGAAGATGTGAATGTGTGTGGGAGAGGTGGTGGGGTGAGATATTTGTCAAAAACAGATTGGGAAAAAGAGGGGAAAAGGCAGAAAAAAAGAAAGGAGTGAGACTGGAAGACACTTTAATGGAATGCACCGCAGGCAGAGACCTGGGTTTCTAAACTGTCCAGCCCAGAAGTTAAAGGCCAGACATTGAGTTCATCTGAATGAGAACAGTGCACACTCAGAATTGCTCCTGCAAACCCTATCTCAGGCCAGCACATTTCCCTGCACAGATGCGGCAGAAAACACCTAATCAGCCACATTCCACCCTTGTGCTATCCATCACATGAGACCTTAAACAAACAAAACCCTTCGTGTTGTTTGTATTTGCTGGGTTTCAGGGTTTGGCTTACTCTGGGCACAAGGAAAGCCTGTTGTATCACATGTAAGCCAGAATGCAAACACATTTAATACAAACACATGCGTGCCAGGTTTTGGCTTCATTTGGCTTGCTTTATGCATAGAAAGTGATTGCATAGAAAGCGAGGAGACACTCACCAGTGCAAACGTCGGGGGCGGCGGGGGTGCTGGAGGGGGAGGGACGGGCATCTTGGGCAGTTATGCGTTCAACAGTCTTGCTGATAAATCTGGAAAAACAAGAATGCGATCGTGTATTAGATGTAATCTTAGTAATACTGTCCTAATCTGCCTTCACTTTCCCACCAAAGTGACAGCTCCACCTAGCTCAACTCTTAAAAGAGATGGGCTTACCTTTACACCTCACTGCTAAAACGTTACTGTTCTGGAAGGATCCCGGCAGAGGGGCTTCCGAGCCGAGGTGCTCGGAGAGAATGGAGGCCACATCCAGTGCCTTACTTGGCTCCATTCCCCCACCCACCACAGCAGGCCATGACCCACCCAGGTGGGCCTGGTTAAGCAGGAAAGTCTCACACAACTGCTCGGATGTGGATATATCCTGGCCAAGTTTGACTGAAAACAAATTCACTTCAAGTGGCTTCTCCTGCTCGCTAATTTCCACGACAATCCTTTCTTGCTCTCCCACCCCTCTGGCTTTCTCCTCCCATCCTTCCTGACATTCGCCCAAGTCTGTGTGTGTACTGCAGGAATATGAAGATGAATCTACCTCTAGTCCTGCCCTCAAAGTTCCTAGTCCTCCAGGGAGAGGACACGGAGAATGTAAAGTGGAAAGCGGGGAGCAGCAGGTAAATCGGGGTGGACGTATGGGGGTCAACCTTATGTTTGGAGCACTCAAAGACCAGCCATCCCTATCTCTGTGCTCCTTAGCATTTCCTCAGAGGATCTAAGCACAAACAGAGGGGGAAGGAGAAGTCAGACCTAGGACTCCCAGGCTGTTTACTAGAAATGCACTTCATTTACAAGAGACTGTCTTACCTTTGTTTGGGTAAAAAAATTATATACAAAGAAAATAAGAAGGAAGAGCCTTTCTGCAGAGTGTGCTTGCTCTGAGAACAAAGGGAAGGCCAGATTCCGTAGCTGGGTAGGAGAGTTTAGGGACCCCAGGGGGGTTAGGGGGCAGGGCGGAGAGGGCAGCCTGGCAAACACCAGGGCCAGGAGAGACGATGGCCAGGAAGTGCCCAGGAAGTGCCTGGGGAGTTACACCAGTCAGGAACCCTCTCCCCATTTCCTCCAATCCTTCCAGTCCTGTTCCTTCGCCTCACTAGAACCCCTGCTCCCTCTGCCCTGTCTAGGACAACGCCTCACCCACTGTTCTCATCCCTAAGTAATGCCAGCTTCTCCCGCTCCATCCTTGCTACACAAACTGGTCCTGGATGGGCAGCGTGGGCATCACCCAGGAGCTGTTAGAAATGTCAACTCCCAGTCCCTTTTGCCCCCAACTGAAATCGTTTCAGCATTTTAGCAAGATCCCTGGGTGATTCATATGCACTAAAGCCCAACTGTAGAGTTCGAGCCTGAAACCAGTGCGCAGTCTGGAACACCAGCCACCTGAATAACATTATTTCCACAGGACATGTGTCCCAAATTTTAAACTGCAGAATTATGTTTCTTTTTAAAAATTTTTAAATTTTATTTACTTATTTTTTTGAGATGAGGTCTTGCTCTGTCACCCAGGCTGGAGTGCAGTGGCAAAATCATAACTTACTATGCCTCAAACTGATGGGCCTAAGCAATCCTCCTGCCTCAACCTCCTGAGTAGCTTAGCTAGGACTGCAGACATATGCCACCGTGCCCAGTATTTATTTTTATCTTTTATTTCTGTTGTGATGGGGTCTTGCTATGTTGCTCAGGCTAGTCTTGAACTCCTGGCCTCATGCGATCCTCTTGCCTTAGCTTCCCATAGTGCTGGGATTACAGGTGTGAGCCACTGTGCCAGGCTTTTTAAACTCTCAATAGTCTCTTAATTGCAGAAAACAATTTCTTAGAATTTAAAATATTCATTTAGTTCCACCACTACAAGTTAATGTGGAAAACTGAAACCTAAACAAATACTTTCTATTGAGATAATGCTAGATGGCTTGCTTTCCGTGAACAGAAATGGACTGGAGAAGCTAAAACAGACACTGCTGGACTTGTCACAGCCGCCGGGAAACAAGAATTAAGACAGTTCGCAAAAGTCCCATTCAAAGTGGGCTGTCTAGAAAATGAAAATTTTAAATTCCACAGCAGCAACAGCAGCTCTCATGTATGGAGAATCCGCTGGATCCAGGGCTCTATCCTTGCATGGTCTCTGACTCCTAAGACACCAGAAGCCAGCATAGCTGTGCTCATTTGATAGACTCAGAGAAATTAAGTCACTCCCTAAAATACCCTGAAGCAATTCATTCAGTCATGTCCTTTTGGTTCCTGCTCTTCTGCTGGATAACACTGCCTCACTCACTGCCGTTTCAATGATCTAATAAGCACTTTCAGGCAGGCAAATTAGTGCCACAGCTCACCTGTTAACTAGGCTGGAATCTGTTTTCAGTAAGAGGGTGTCTCAGGCAAGGATTCTTTTAAAGTATGTTTCTTAAATTGCTCTTTCTGGCATGACACCAATTAGTCACCCATAGGGCCACGTGGGCACTGTGAGCAGGACTGGGTGCCTGTGTTAGGGCGTCCTCTGTCAAGGGGCATCTCCAGTGGCACATTCAGAGGCCTTGGAGTCAGACGTCTCCTCCAGGAGGAATGACGGGGATCTGAAACTGAATTTAGGCCTGACTACTGCAAAAAAAGCTGGAGCCAAATCAGTGGTATGACCAGAGCTGGGAAAGGCTTACCAAGGAAGGGGGATAGCCTGGTCTGCCTGGTGGGCCCAAGAGATGGGCTCTGGGAACAGTGCATCCATGTGCTTGGTCAATGAAAAATCCCTCAAGCCTATTTTGTCTGATTCCATGTTCACTAACTAATTTTCCGTCATCCTGTGATCCTACTATCTAGGAAGGAGTGGATATTCTGGTCAACTAACAGGAACCTCTTAGGGGTGTGGTTGTCATGAGTTCGGTTCTCATAGCAGAGATCAAATTGAACTTCTGTCCTGCACAGCTTAGGGGCCAGACTGTGGAATGGGGGACGCTTTCAGGGGCTGCCACCCTGAAAGACCTCCTTAATTATTTTACAATTCTCTGTTGCTGCTGTTTTAGTAATGTCTGTGCACTAACTGACTTGTATATTAACTTCTGGATGACAACTTCAGGGAGGGCTGTGCTAACTTCATGGTCCAGAGGGCTGGTGTGGGAGAAACAGCAACAGTCATGGCTGGGGCCAGGGCCAAGGCCAGATTGCAGAAATTAGCGGCAAAACCAAGGTTCAGGGAGCAAGATGCTATTAAAGGGTCTGGGGTATTGCAGTCTTTCCTTCCTGGCCACTTCAGACGGACAGTGGGGAGAGGGTCTATGAGTGAGCGCTCTCACTTTTTAGAGGGTGGTGCAGAACTAAGTGCTCTTTCTTCTCCTCTGTAGACTTCTGTTTGCACGGCTTGCTTTCCCTGGCCCCATCTCTCAGTCCCCTCCAGATTAACTGTCCCTTTCCAATCTCAGTGGTAACACAGAAGAGGGAGGCTGCCATGTCCTCTCTCCTCCTTTTTAGCTGAACATCTGCTGGGCATGGTCTGGACTTCTCCAGGCTGGGGCCTCAAGGGAAGCGTGTGAGAAACCCGACTCCAGTACTGCCACCTCACTCAGCCCCTGGATCAAAGAAGACTAAGCTCATGCGCCCCAACACTGGGCCCACCGGCCACGCCAGGCCTACTTCTTGGCTGTCTTTCCACCAGCCTATGGACTCCATGGGGTCTTGCCAATACCTGGCACAAAGTAGGGTTCTTACTAAATATATATGCAGTGAAAGAACTGTGTATCACACAAGCCGAGTGCTTGCCACTGGAAGGGCTCCCAGCATCACCCCAGTGCACTGTGAGATCCAGGTAAAAGAGTCAGCCCTATTTCAGAGGGGCTTGCTAGTGTTATATACTGGGACTTACTTTCCTGGCAGCCTCCAACTTCCCCAGAGAAGTAGAACCCCAAGGCCTTGGGATAGGAGGGCTTCCCTCCTCTCATGGACTTGACAGCCCACATCAGAGCCGGAGCCAGATCTTACTGAAGGCCTTGGCCCTAGAGCACGGATCTTAACAGACCAGGCATTCCTGCCTGGATCCTCACACCCAGAGTCTGTAGATAGAATTCAAGGGTTCATAAACTTGGATGAAAAAAAAGCATATATTATTTCTACTAAGCACTAACTGAAATGTAGCATTTCCTTTGATTATGAATGTAGGCCACAAACCACAGTATCTGATATTCTTTCACCAATAGTTTTCACATGATATTTTCACATCATATTACAACTACACATCAACAATTTTCAACATTCTGGCAACGTTTAAATCTGTTGCTAAATCTTGTTGTTTAAACCATTAATAAAGAAGTACATATTTTAATAAAGTAGTTTCCTTTGTAATTCTCTGTATTTTATTTTATGCATTTAAACACAGACACAAAAGGGGCCCTTTGGGACTGTGAGTGGTGACTTATACCTGTAATCCCAACACTTTGGGAGGTCAAGGTGGAAGGACTGCTTCAGCCCAGGAGTTTAAGACCAGCTTGGGCTAAAAAACGAGCCCTTTATCTCTAAAATTAAATTAAATTAAATTAAAAAAAGGAGTCTTTTGGGCTTCACCAGTGGGTTTATAGAATGAAAAAGGGAGAACATGAGACCTTGGTCAGGCAAATTTGGTTCTGAATCCTTGCTCTGCCACCTGGCAGATTCAGATGGGAATCTGTTTTTCCCATCTGTTAAATGGGAAGTTGCTGAGCAGATTAAATGAAATGGTGTGTGCAAGGCTTTCAGCGTGGCCTGGGGGAGCAAAGCCGTCAGTGGACAGGGCTGAGATCTGTCCTTTGGAGGGTGAGGATGGGTCCTGCTGGTACAAGCTGCTGAGTGCCTGGCAGAGGAGGGATGGACCTGGAGGCTAGTCTGAGGGGCCGCAGCTTTGCTCAGTGGCTGTGGGTGGATCTGCCTGGGTGGGAATGAGGCCGACTGATGACTGGGCTTCCCAGCATTTGGTTCTTCCCTTGGAGATGGGAGCATGGCAGGAAAGGCAGCTGACTCGGGTGCAGGAGAGGCCTGAGAAGAAGGGAAAGGACTCAGCAGCAGTTTCCCCAGTGTGGTCAGT